ACAAATTGTAGACTTTACTGCTGAAAAGTATTGGTGCCTTTGAAGATTAGCCATTTGGAAGAGCCTGTTTTCATGCTGAAATTTCAATATTCCTGACAAAAGCTATATTTTATTTCCTTTCCTTTGATTTCTTTCCCTGCCTACATTTGTATCTAGTTTTGTTTCCCTCTTTCTCTCTACTTCCCAGAGCTGCTATTGCTGACCCTATCTCCATCCTGTGATTATTTTATCTTCTTTTTCCTCTTTCTTCTGGCATTACTTACAAAAGCTAATGCAGAATAATAAGCTCCTCTGCTGACCTCCTCTTCACATACATTGATTGCTCTGTCCAATTGCTCAGAGATTGCTATTATTCTATTACAGTGCCAATCTTTAAGAAAAATAAAAAAAGCCTATTAATTTTTATCTAGTCTTCTTGTTGTTAATAAATTATATAGTAAACATTTAGGGACCACATTGCTTGGCAGGTCTTGGCTGGTAAAGATTCAGGACAGAACATTCCAAATAGTCAATTGTAGACTAATCAATTATCCTAAACCATGTGGCAGAAATTTTAGATCTCTAAAAATTATAATGGAAATCATCAAACACAAAATGTTCATCATCAAAAATGTCATCCCCTTATGCTAGCAAACAACCCATTATCTGTTTTTCTTTATGCAGATAATGTGATCATCCTCTTCCTGATACATGCTGACTTCAAAGTTAATGTTTACAGGTGGTCCTCAATTTACAACCATTTGTTAGTGACAGCTCAAACAATGGCGCTGACAAAGTGATTTGTAACAGTTTTTCACACTTAATGATTGTTGCAGCATCCCCATGGTCATTTGACAAAAGTCAGGTGCTTGCCTCATATTTTTTTTATTAAATATTTTATTAGATACAAAAGAAAAGAAAAAAGAATTTAAAAAAATTGAACATGGTGTATCGTCTTTGACATATATCTTTGTCTAATCATTCCATACTTTACATATGAGAGTAAATGTTATATATACAGCTATACATTTCTAGTAATCTTTCTCTATTTATATCCCTTATATCGACTTCCTTCCTATTTCCCTCCACTTGTAAAATTTATTCCAAATTAGGTAATATTTATTCCAAATTAGGTAATATTTTTTCAAGTTAACGCCTGCGCTCGACTCCTGGATCGTGTAATAGGTCCAGGTCGGCCAATCATAGCATTCACTGCAATTGCTGCATGATTGAGTGACTCATCTACTTGTATCACGCGTCCCTCATCAGAGTTTAAACATTTGTGTTTAAATGATTTGTGTATGCCCTGATGAAGTTGGCAGGAGCCAATGAAAACTAGGTTGCTAATTTTTAAAACTTTTAATGTTTTTATTTAAAACTTCTGTTTTATATTAAAACTTTTAATGTTTTATCTTTTCCTGGTGATCATATTTTACTCCCACCATATACACACCCAGGAATCCCGCTTCTATTTTTAATATTCATATATATATATATATATATATATATATATATATATATAATTTGTTTTCTCTCCGAACCTAGTAATATTTTTTCAAGCCCCATATCTCGTCTATTAATTCCCCACTCTTTCTTATCTTTCATATATTTTGCATCTGAAGATAGGACCACCATTCCAAAACTATTCCCTGTTGTCTCAACTCTTGTCTTTGCTTTAGATGGCCTTTCTCTGACAGGATACCTTTATATGTAATAACCTTATCTTGCCTGTATAACTTGGGGTATGTAACTACTTTTAATGGTGAGAGCCAACCTGGAACTCCTGTATAGTGTTGGCGTTTAATTATGTTCCAGTTTTTTATGAGTTCTTGCCGAACTTTGTGCCTCAAGAAATTTTGATAGTTCCTACTTTTCCTTGTCTATAAGTGAGCATGCCAGCCCTGCTGGAGGTCATGCCCCTCTAAATATAAACATCTTTTGTTTTACAGAGTAATCCAATCCCTAATCCACGTCAGGGCCGCTGCTCAATAGCAGAGCTCCCAATCGGAAAGCCTAATCCCCCTCTCTCTTTAGCATCCTGTAGAGACTTTTGTTTTATTCTCGCCTTCTTTCCTTGCCACACGAAATCTAAAGTTAATTTATTCAACTCTTTTAAAAAAATTATCTAATTGGATTGGAATATTTTGAAACAAGAATATCATTTTGAGTAAAATATTCATTTTCACTGCTGAGATTCTTCCAAGAAGCGAGAGATGTAGGTTTCTCCAGCGCTCTAAGTCAACATTTATGTGCTTTACTAATTTTCCATAATTGTCCTCTTTGATTGATGAACACCGTGCGGAGATAACAATTCCCAGATATTTTATTTTAGGAACTATTTGTATACCTAATTTTTCCCCAAGATTTGCTTTTTGCATATTAGTCATATTTTTTTGCTATGATCTTTGTTTTGTTTCTATTTATTTTCAAGCCTGCCAAATCTCCATACTCCTCCAATATTTCAAATAGCTTCTGACCTGATTGCACTGAATCTTCCAATATAAATACTAAATCATCAGCATATGCTTGGAGTTCGTATATTTCCTTCTTGACCTCAAGCCCTTTGATCTGCCTCTCTTGCCTTACTACTCTTGCTAAAATCTCCAACATATATATAAATAACAACGGCGAGAGAAGGCATTCTTGTCTTGTACCTTTCTGAATACTAAATTTATTAGTGGCCTGACCATTTATTATGATCTGAGCATTCTGTTCAGAATATATTGTAGTTATTACGTTTAAAAAGTTTTTTACCTACATCCATTAGTTTCAATTGTTGAATCAGAAATAGCCAATTGACATTATCGAATGCCTTCTGTGCGTCAAGAAACAAAAGTGCCTCATGTTTTTGATGGAGTCATGTAATCATCTTTTGCAACTATTGGCAAGCAAGTCAGTAGAGAAGCAGATTCATTTAACAACCAATTTTACAACTGCAGTTGTGACAAAAAAGGTCACAAACTGGGACAAAACTCACTTAACTGTCTCAATAATGGAAATTTTGGGCTCGATTATGGTTGTATATTGAGGAGTACCTATATTGTAAAGAAGAAAAATAGAAAATAATTGTAGTAAAACAAAAGTAGTTACATTAAGAAAACAATGCATAAAAATGTGTCATAAATAGAAAATCAAATGCAGTCAGTTTGAACAGATATTTACAGGTATTAAGAGAACTGAACTACAATTCCTCAGTATTGAAAAATGTAAAATAATTAGGAATTACATTTCATTCCTTTGCTAGAAAGAGAAAAAGAAAACTATTTCATCTTTGCACAAAAACCTAATCATTAAATTTGTCAAGCACTATGAAAATAATCACATTCCTTGTGGAATCATACTTTTCAGGGCCAAAGAACTGAGTTCAATGCACTTTGGCACGCAAATTTATGTCTATAAAGATGAAAAAAAAATTGAAGGTAATTCAGTACAAGTTCTTAAGAGCAGTTCTTCACTCACTGCGTTTCAGTGCAAGCTGAGGCTGGAGCTGGGTTGCGTTATAGTGAAAGCCCATGTGAGGATTTACTGATTGAAACACTAGTTAAAATTAATTTTGAGGGAGAAAAGTATCTATCCCAATTACTATACATTGAATCTAAGCTTGACTAATTAAAAAAAACACACATAAGTTCAGCCTGCTGTGAAATCTCGGTTCACTGGGGTCTGGGTGGCCCTTATAAAAAATCACACTATGTATTCTGGATCCAGGTTTTACAGTAGGAGCAGAATTTCATATAACACTGGCCTGTGGAACAAGATTCATCTACTCTTTTAAATATTTATATATTTTCTCTGTCCCTCACAGAAGAACATATACTCTTGCCTGCTTTTGGCCTTTCCATCAAGGTTGTAGAAGGGAGGTAGAGATGGCACTTTGTATTAATATCACTCCTGTTTATTAATTGCTTCAATTGTGCCAGGGAAGAAACACTTTTTTCTGTTAGCTGACAAATCCTTAAAAATCTTTTAAAAGCTAAAAAAAAAAAAAAATCACTCTTCCATCACGATCACTGTAATGAAGCTGTCTAGAATTACATTCCAATAGATTCTTCCATGTCAAAAGATAATTAGCTGTGTTTTTCTCTTATTATTTTAATTTATGACGTTGGGTGGTCTATGGTCATGAATAAACTTTGATACTTAATGCAATACTTAATGCTATTCTTATTTTCTCTGGAAGTTGGAGAGAAGTCTATCATCACCATACTTTTCTCATGAGACGGGATTGTGTATGAGATTGGTTGATTATGCAGATAGGAATCAGTTGCTTTCACTGGAAATTTTACCCAGTAGTATTTTATACTTCGTTTTGCTTTGTTTTTGTCTTGACCCTCTTTTTTGGAGTGTAACTTTTAGCAGGAATATATGCACACATATGCTTGCGCAAATCTGTCACATTTTGGCAAATACGTTACATATATGCAGGTATGTTTTTCAGCTAGACTTAGAAACTTTAAATTAATGAGGGAAGCGTTCAACAATATATTTGTCTACAAACAAACACACATGAGTGTGCATGAATGCGTATAAATATGTGCATGTACATTCAATATGTCTCATTTGGGGGAATCACACTTTTTTAGGGAAATTATTTCTGTCCTTTAATTATTGGTTAAAACTTTTTTAATATTTTGGGAGCAGGTAATTTCAAGAACTGTTAAGTTCATAAATAATACTAGAGCTAGCCAATTAAGATGAACATAAAATCAGTTATCCTTTTCTTGGTCTCATCCTTTAGGATGAGTAGGTGAAACAAAAAGTTTCCAGTGATGCTATTGAAACTGAAATATTTCCTGTGAATATTTACTAGGCTGCTTCTATTTTTAGTTTTAAGATGCTTCTTAAGATATATTACTTTTTTGTGTTTTAATGTGTAGCTTTGACTTGTTTTATTTGCTGTATTCATCATTTAATTGGACTTTGCTTTAAGATCTCTGTTATATTTGCTGCATTATGTTTGTTAGAAGTCAAGTAGAGTTAATAAAAATAATTGCTTTTATCTTTGTTACATTGTTTCTAAGGAGGAGACTATAAAGGATTCATCAGGTCAAGAGGATGAGACACAGTCCTCAAATGGTGATCCAGTTTCATCTGTTGTACCAGAAATAATTCGCCCACGTCGTTGTAAATACTTTGATACAAGTATGTATTTTTTAAATCTGTTTTCAAACATTTTAGAAATGCATGGAAGTTGTACAAATATTTGGGCATTCCCATATGCAGTAAATGAACATCAGGAGAGCTAGAACCATCACAATGATGAAATCTGGAATTTTGAAACAGGTTGACCAACGCCTACTTTTATGTGAGAAATTTGCACAAAAAGGCAATGATTTTTTTTTCTATAATTGAAATCTTTTGGAATATGGAAAGAGTCTCTTCTCAGTTCTCTAATATTGTAAAAGTATCTGCAAGGAGAAAATGTTTTCTTGTGGAAAGAGAATGTTTATGAACTTCAGAGCTCTTATCAACTGCTGGTTGGAGACAGTAAGAACTTTCTGTACAAATAAAAGATTGCCTTTTCCTTTCTTATAGAGAAAGACAATAGTTGCTGTTTGTCTTTACAGTGAAGGTACTTATCAAGGATAAATTGTCTGGGAGTGGGAGAATGATCTTTTCTAAAGTCTTGTCTCTTGATATCATTGGATCTACTGAGGAACATACTAGAAGGCATTTTCTCTGTAAAGATAATGCTGGTTGGTATTCAAAACTTCTGAATTCTGTATTTGAATCTCAAGATCTACTGCCCTACTTTCTAATACATTTCTTAGAAGAGTATAACCTGCACAATTATGTGTAAAAACATAATCCAGGTGTATAGCACATTGAAGAGAGGTAAAAGTGGCTGGCAGATTAGTTAAACCAGAGATTCTCCATTTTTTATATTCACAGCTAATATTTGGAAATAGAGGCTTAGCTGATATTGCTCTAATATTTATATTTGTCTAATGCTAAGAATTTTAACTAGCTTTTCTTCCATTACTGCCTGTTTTTTTTGCCTAGCTTATATTTGTACTTACATATACGTATATATGAGCAAAAATGCTGTTAACATACAGTTAATGAGTCCAAAAAATGCAGCAAAATAATTTGTTATGGTACCAAAACTAATATATGACATGGTAATTTTTAATCAACAAATCTCTGCTTCAAAATGTCATTTGTACTTGCCCTTTGTGTATGGAATTTGTGGGATGATGAAATGATTACATAAAATTATTTTATAATGAATTGCTTAGCTAATACAGTATATTCTGAAACATTTGTATACATCCTTCTAATGTATATCCCTGAAAAAATATACGGTAGTTAACTTTTAGCTGTGTGAACAAATTCTCCCCATTCTTTATATGAAGAAACATTTCTATTTTTTAAAGTATTTGCCTCTGACAAAAGCTTGTTTTATATTTTAATGCTGCTTTTTGTGACTTTGAAGATATAGATGTTCTTAAGCAACATCTTGTTGAATGTATCAGCTCTTTAGCAATGCTATTTACCTAAATAAATATATTAGAATGTATATTTTTTAATATTTTTCAAAATTGGAAACCTCCTAGCTAACTCTAGTTCAGAGTATTATGAGCCAGGACATACCAACCACAATTAGTCACACAGAGTTGGTTGTGACATCACAGTTCAATATTTAATTAACCAACCAGATATGGGACTGAAAAATCTGTCTGTAGAAAAATAGTTTGTTTGAAGAAATGTAAATTCAGGATAGCTATCCCTATTTAAGTGAAAGTTGTTATTTTTTTTTAATATAGACAGTGAAATAGAAGAAGAATCTGAAGAAGACGAAGACTATATTCCTTCAGAAGACTGGAAAAAAGTAAATATGAGCTTATGATAAACTGTCAACATAATATGACTATTATACAACTTAATTTGTGGGGAAAATCATTCCTAACATTATGACTATTCAAAGCTCCTTATGAAGCTAGTCTCAGCTAGTTGGGGCTCAAGGAGCTTTTACAGTTAAGCTATTCGAAGATTATATTTGAATGATCTCACAGACTAGGTGCTTTGCCCGAAGATCTGAAGTATGCAGCTATAGTTTATTTTAAAAATTCTAAATCTTGTTATTTAAAATGTATTGAACATTTAAGAGGACTCAGTTAATACAGCAAGGTTTTGGGAGGGGGGGTTGGAAAAAATATTAGTTACATCTGCAATTTTATTATGTTTCATTGGAATTTCCTCCCCCCCCCTTTCTTTACCCGAATGATTGTAGCTGGAAAAAAATATTTCATTGTTGTGTCTGCCTGATAACTAGTGGCCAGGTTGAAAAGCTTGTTCTAACTCAGTGCAGATTTTTGTTTTTAATCTGACATTCAAGGGTAACAGTTTGGTTTTGCAGATAAACTGGATCATTTATTACTTAAGTGTATTTGCCTCATATAATGTCAGAATTCCAGAGTCTTTTCTTATTAATGAGCAAGGAAAGCAAAGGAAACCTTAATTTTATATGCAAGTAATCTGCTTTGCCACTTTCTAACTAGACACAATCTGAAGTTGTGGTATATAGTTGTTGCAAACTCTTTGCATTTGGCAGCAGCAAGTCCAGAATTTGGATCGAAACTTAGCTTGTTCTTTGTTTCTGAGTTCCTGATTTGTTTAGCCATTCAAGTTGGGAGCTACTTGGCAGTTTTTGAAAAGGTGCTATAGAATCTGGAATTTTTATTGGCAAATTTGATTATTATTAAGCCCATGTAATAGTTTACATTGCATAAAGAAGTCAATATATGAACAAATTTACTTATTTCATACTTTTAAAATGTTTTTTATTCCAATTGGTATTTGACTGTCTTTCTGGTTATTGAATAGTATGGTGTTAGATCTATGATTACAGATGATTTATATATTTTTTCCAAACAGGAAATCATGGTGGGCTCCATGTACCAAGCTGAAATTCCAGTTGGTATAGCTAAATATAAAGAGAATGAGAAAGGTAAAGTAATTGGCAATTTGTTTTAATTAAGGTTGCAATTAAGATTTTAGGTGAGTTCTTGAGGCGTTCACTTTAGTAAGGTTGATGTATAAAATTCTTGCAATTCATAAAGAATTCATAAGAATAAGGTATAAAATATAAAAATATACAGGGAAGCTTAATATTTATTCATACAGCGTAAATTATATGTAGAAAATAGAAGCTGGCTTTGAATATCATTTTAAACAAATTGGTTTGTTTGCCTTGTGTTTCTAATACTTTTAAATTAAATTAAATTATGTGAATTGAAACCACTTTATTTAAAAATATGGTTAAACAAACTGGCTCAGACATACAGACACACACACACATACAGACACAGAAGAGCAAGGAATGATTCAAACACTTGTGCATGGTTTCCTTACCAGTTACAAAACCGGATTTCCCATTACCAGGTGCAGAACTTTCTATTGCATCTCCCATGTATGTAACTTCAAAATTCCTAATATCCCATGAGTTACTGATTAATAATATCTCAAGCCGCCAGTTCAACAGCACAATCCTATGTATTATAATTGAATGGAGTGGAGCTTACACAGAAACCAGCCTAAATTATAGCAGCCATAACAGTGAAACATTTTTTAAGAAAGTGTAGCTGTGGTGCTTTGGTGGTTGCAGAAACTCTAAGAACAAGTTGGTTGAGCAACTCCAACACTTCCTGGCAGTTGGAAAGTTGGTATAATCTGCAAGTCATTAGAAATCAAGTTTGCACTTACCTGGAACTGGGTAAAATAAGTAAAAAAACAAAACAAAAAAAACCAGGATGAGGCATTTTCCTGAATCTCTTTGCTAGAGAAAATGCTTTTCTTTAATTCAGGTCTCCTATATTTCAGTAATATTTTAAAAAATCAGAAATTTATGAGCCATCTTAGAGGCAAGATAAAATGCGAAGAATTATCTGATCTCTAAATATTGTTAGGAAATATGTAATTATCTGTCTCTAATTTTAGTGTATGAAAATGATGATCAATTGCTATGGAATCCAGATTACTTGACTGAAGATAAAGTGATTGAATTCCTTAATGAAGCCTCCAGAAGGACAGGCGATGAGAGAGGAATTGATGCAATTCCTGAAGGATCCCATATTAAAGATAATGAACAGGTATATCAAATATATGGAAATCTTCATTTACCAACAGAGCTTTTCCACTGGCTACAAAGAGAGTGGTTTTCAGCAGTATTCCCCCAATCCTCCTGCTTATTTTGCTACCTATATTTTTGTTAAAATTTGCCCTGGAGGATTGTGAGCTGTCCAGAACAGTGGAAGAAGATTGTGTGGTTGATGAAAAGAGACAGAAAATCGGGAAAAATTGGTTCATTTTTTCCATCAGAAGAGGCATTTTAAGCAGGCCACTCCTTCAGGATGTTCCTGTCAGAGGAATAATATTCTGTATCCAATCCCTAACATTTTAAAACATCTTGAAGAGATGATTTTGGAATTTTTATATTGGCTATAGAAAAACCTGGGGGTCGTAGTTCATATTGCCTGAGCTCTGTCATTTTTAACATTAGAATTTTAAAACACAAGTCTAAGATGACAATTTGGACTTCTTCTTTTGCAGGCTTTGTATGAATTAGTGAAATGTAGTTTTGATACAGATGAAGCATTAAGAAGATTGAGATTTAATGTAAAAGCAGCCCGAGGTATGTATGATTTATTTTTTTAATGTGTTTCACTATTGTGAATTTCTATATCTTTTTTTAAAATTTGTTACATTTACACACAGACACACACACATAGACACAGTGACTTTCATACTTATTTTAGTTGAATATTCTCTTAAACTTCAGCTCTGGTGTACATATATGTTGCAGTAACCATATTTTCCTTCTGGTAGATATGGAGAAAGAGTTCATCTGAAGATTCCATGTAATTGGGGTGGTGGAGGAGGTGGGACGGGAAGAGGACAGGGAGGACCTAATTCATAGCACCTCTTTTGCTGTGGAGGTATTTCCATACTACCTTGGTTACCTTGAAAACTAGCATAGCATAAAAAAGATAATGATGGCAAATCATGGCATTGTATTTTCACAGTGCAATGATTTCTGTAAGTCTGTATGAATGTGAAGAGCTTCTGTGCAGAAAAGATTTTGTCTGCTGTAAAAATGAAAAAGGACAGAAAGGAAGGAGTGGTCCCTTTTTAGATTCTGCTTTCTAAACCAATTAACCCCCAACCCTGCCCTAGGAAATAAATTAGGCAGGAAGAGGCTTACAATACGAAGCATTGCTCACTTTCCCCATGTACTCTAACTTCACTATAAGGAGCTTCCCCGTTTCCAAAATACCTTTATCTAAATAAAATGTCAATCTGTACCAAACATATGAGACATGTTATCATTTTTAATGTTTAAGAATTCATACATAGACTAAGCATTCATACATAAACTTCCTTTTTTGGCTTGAAGTTCTTATTTTTGTATTGTATTAATTTAATTCAGAGGAGCTGTCTGTCTGGACAGAAGAAGAGTGTAGAAATTTTGAACAAGGTTTGAAAGCTTATGGAAAGGATTTTCACTTAATCCAAGCAAACAAGGTTAGTAACTTGTATAATGATGAAAGCCTTTTATAAGGTGGCGGATTTCAATTTGCTTTCTCTCAACACACAGAGTTAGAAGAGGCTCAGTAGTTCATGGCCATCATGGTAATGACAGAGATGATCCATGTTACTGAAGGCCTAAGTGGCCTGAATATAAAATACTTACTTTGTCTCTGACCTGCAAGCCTAAAATTGCCTTTCCAGCTGTTCCAGTTTGGAAAGTTAATTTGAATGAAGTCACATTTTTATTGTAATGAAAGCAGTACCTCGACTTAACAACCATTGTAATGAAGGCAATACCTCGACTTACAACCATAAGTTTGAATGTCTGTGAAAGTTCTCAGTCATCCAGGTCATGGTTGTCCCAAAGGTGCTTTTTTCAGGAGGCAACTGGACTTCCGTGTGTTTCTTTTGAAGACATTTTGCTCCTCATCCAAGAAACCTCTTCAGCTCTGACTAAATGGTGGGGAGTGGAAGGATTTATGTTGCTTTCAGAGAGATGGTAATTTGTATTCCTTTAGAGAGTCTTTGAAACCATCTGGAGGTTTACCTATGTCCTCAGGGTCACCTGAGTAGTGCAAATGTATGTGGAGCTTAATAAGTTTGAAGTTGCAACAGCACTTCAACCGTTTTTTGCAACGACTGTTGCAGCATTCCGGTGGTTATATGATCAAAATTTGGACAGTTAGCAACTGGTATATATTTATGATGGTTGCAATGTCCCAGGGTCATGTGATCACCTTTTGCAAATTTCTGACAAGCAAAGTCAATGGAGAAGCCAGATTCACTTAACAATCATTTTATTAACTTAAGAAGTGCAGTGATTCACTTAACAACTGTGGCAAGAAAAGTCGTAAAATGGAGCAAAACTCACAACAATTGTCTTGCTTATCAATGGAAATTTTGGGCTCAATTGTGGTTGTAAGTCAAGAACTACTTGTGTTATTGCTTAGTTTTACTCTAATATGGCACTTAAAGAGTGCTTTTAGCTTTGACCTCATGAGGCCTCAGTATGACAAATGCAGTTACTCTCAGTTATAGAACGTTATGATCCTTTAACAGATTGAATTTTCCTTTCCCATATTAACAGTGATTATCACTGATCACCAGTGACTATCACTTAATCGTCATTAAGATTGAGGTTGACCATGTTGCCACATAATCACTTTCCATCCATCTTAAACAGGGAATCTTGTTAACTTTAAGCATGCTTAAATTTAGGGCTAAGTTAGAGCCCTGGCATTACCATGTGCCAATCTTAGAAAAGCTGTTAAATCCCACTTCGCCCATAGCATCCTACACTGCTGATGCATGTCCTACTCCCCTTATGTTACCCAGTTGGATCTTCAAGCAGTCATTATTTAATGTTTAGCGGTATCTTGACATTGAATTATTTAAAGCAGACAGAGGCATTATGGAGAAATTACTGTGGTTCCTTATCTTTGAAGTGCTGCTGTCAAATCACTGGCTCTAATATGGTCAGTGTATCAGGACATTTAATATTGATTGCATCTCTCAAACCCTTTTGTTTTATATTCTGCAAAAGATATTAACACTATTTGATTGCAGTTCTAGTGGCTTATGCAATTATGGCACTTATTCTATTGGGCTATACAGTAGTTTTATTGAGATTCAGTTTCTTTGATTGTACAGAATTCTGTTTGTCTCTTTAAAAGCCTTTGGACCCCAGAAAGACAATTCAGTATTTTCTAAGGTGGTTAAGACTTTTGATTTACTGCCTCCTTACAATCCATTGTTGTTGTCAATTAACTAAAATGTTGAGTTCTTCTTTTTTCCCATCCCTTTCTTAGCAAGGGATGTTACAGTTACTAAAAAATTCATGATTTTCTGTGTGTGTTATTTCAAATAATTCTTCATCACATCTACTGTATGACAGTGGAATTCTTCTCCAGCAAACTCAACAGGGTTTTATTCTTTAACAGAAGCAGTGTTTTTTTTTGTTCCCTGATTAAAAAACTGATTTGCCCGAGACTTGACTTACGGAGGTCTATTTTTTATTATTGTTTGTATTATAGTTCTACTATCTTATTCTAGCATTATTTAAGCAAATGAATATGTAGGCAAGATTAGAGTACCAGCACAATCATGATGATGATGTTGGTGGTGATATGCACCAAGTATTACAAAGACAAAAAGGGGTGTTGCATGATGTTTGAGAGGAAAAAAAATAAGAGCAATTTATTATCTGCTGGCTTGTCTGTATTGAATATTCCCCTTCCTATAGATATGTTCTTTAATGTGAATTTTATATTAAAGTAGATTTTATTCTTGGTGTGTAATAAACACAGGTACGAACAAGATCTGTTGGAGAGTGTGTAGCATTTTACTACATGTGGAAAAAATCAGAACGATATGACTTTTTTGCTCAGCAGACAAGATTTGGTAAAAAGAAGTACAATCTCCATCCTGGTGTAACGTAAGTCTTGTTGATTATTTGTTTCCTCACTGTACTAAAATAATTTATTTTTAAAAAATGACAGTTTTTTTAATTAATTAGAAATGAAAGTGTTTCTTTCTAGTCATCAATCTGAATGCCACATTTGTATTACATTAGAATATTATGTTGTCTTCTCAAAAGTAAAGATGCTATTATTGAAACTGCAACTTTATCCTTTATATCGAAGATCCAGATTATATGTCTCATTTTCCCACAAATGTGACCTATATTATAACTGATAGGAATATCAGTTTGGAAAAGTAATTGAATGGGAATTTCAACTGAGATTCCTCTGATCTGAATCTAGGATTACACTCATCTTCTCTCTTTTGTAAAAACATTATATAAAGGGAGGAGCTTGCTAAGTATGCCACTTACCTCAAAAAATTCTGTGCACATTTCAACAATAAATAACCCCAAGTCACCTAGGAATAAAACAGAAAAAAAATATAGACAATAGAGACAATAAATAAAAGGATCATAGAAATAGTTTAAAAACTACAGTAGCTTGGCATAGAAATGTTACTTTAGGCAAGCCTTTGTAGTATTGTTTACTGTATAATAAATCTCCATTCAAAATTTAAAATGGATTATTCTTTGAACGTCTTAAATAGACACTTTCTACTAAGGTGTATCAATGGTGCCTTAGGGCAGGGGTGTCAAACTGCCGGCCCGCGGTCCGGATGCATCATTCCAAAACCGCGCCCACCCCATTGCCGGCAATGGGGAAAAAGTCGTGATATATCGTGACACGTCACATGACGTTGCGAGTTTGACACCCCTGCCTTAAGGTTACTGGTCATTTAACAACCACAGTTGGGACTGGCAACTCCATCACTAAGTGATATGGTTTGTTAAGAAAGATATCACATGATCATATTTGTAAACAAATTGTTGAATTTCTAAACAATTATTGAATTTCTAGGGTTTTACTCTATTATTTTTTATCTTAATACATATTCATTGAATTTGAGCTTTTTATCTTAAGTACGATAATAGAGCTTGCCTAGATCATATATATCACCATGCCATTTCTCTGGTCTTGCTTTAGCACAATATGATTTAATATATGTGCAAACCAGGCGAATTTGTCTTCTTCAAAAAGAACTATGGTTTTAAAATCTTGGCTTAGCATTAGGTGAATGCAGATTGTTCATTGTAGGACTTCAAGTGACGCCTATCTGAAGAGCAAATTTCTTGATCATTTTTTTAAAGGGACTACATGGATCGTCTTTTAGATGAAAGTGAAAGTGCGGCATCCAGCAGAGCTCCTAGCCCTCCTCCTACAACTTCCAATAGTAGCACCAGTCATTCAGAAAGAGAGGATAGCACAACCAGCAATAGTAATCAAAATGGTAGGTAAAATACCTTCTTCCATCTAAATTCCCTAAGGTGCATTCTTTAAGCTAACGAAGTACATTTTTGCAAGTAATTTTCATCTAATTTTAATTTTTTCTTCTGTACCTTTTTCTGTTTTTGTCATTTGTTAAAATGGAAGCTACAATATTTAATTCTGCAAAAATGTACTTGGGGTCAGAAAAATACAAGTCTCATGTACAGACTGCAGCCTCTTAATGGATTATCTTAAATATTTTATTTGTCCGTTAGATTCATATCTTACCTTTCTCAAAGAACTGAAATGTTGGTGCTTCTTCTATCTCTTGTTTTTACCTCAACTCGTCTACTGTGGAGTAGCTTGGACTAAGAAAGATTGGCCAAACCTACCCTTGAAATTTCCATCACTAAGGGTAAATTTAAAACTGCATTTTCCCAGCCCCTAATGTAACATCTCAATGCAGCTCCAGAAATAATAATATTAAGTAAGTAGAAGCAGGGGAAAATACATACCAGATGGCATACCTTATTTAAATGCAAAGAAATTTAAATCAAATTTAGTATGGGTTATGATGTCATCAACCACTTTTGTAGTGTGTCACTGAAACTATTTAAAAGCTAAATAGTTACAAATTGGGCGAGTATGCATTCTGTATATATGTTTTATGGTTTGTTTTTGTGACTTGTTTTTTTAAGATGGTAGTTCTTTCTTTTCTGTTTTATATTCTCCTTTCTAGGTGTATCTACTAATGGGCCAAGTGAGTTATCAAATAAAGATGACATGAAAATTGAAGGACTGCACATAAATGGACCAACTGGCAAAAAACCGCAACTTGTAGATTTTGATACAAATGGTTACGAACCCGAAAACCTTTCCAATCATTCTAAACTTCCTCATTCAAATACAAGGCATGATCTTGAAGATACAAATGAAAGGCCTGTGAAAAGGAGAAGAATCAACAGCAGTGACAAAGAGTGCACAGCTTCCTCTGAAATTTTCCAAGAAACAGTGGCCCATGGGAATTTTGAAGACCAGGACACTGTGGGTGACTGAACACATTTCATTCAAATAATTGCATGGGATGTCTGCATTTTCAGGGTTAATAGGTTCTCTTTACAGATTCAAATCCCATAAAATAATTTATGGAGATTTTGAAATATATTTTAATTGCTTCCTAATCCTAGCTAAGGTTACAGTATTTTCCTTTTTAAAATCCTGAAATGCAGATATAGCAGGAGGGAGAACTTTCTGTCAGAGAGCCGGTTGCTATAGAATTGATTTGAGAGTTGTGGGTTTTTTAGGCAAATTTCTTTAGATGACTTCAGGGCACTAACCTGTTATGTAAATTATACTTTGAAAAATAGCTTAAAATTCCCAAGCAGAATTGATAAAATGGAAGTGAAGAAAGAAGCAATACTGAATAGTTTAAGGAATGCCGGTAAATCCTGAAAGTTGCATGAGGATTCATTGGTGTGTGTATATGTATATGTGTGTCAACGTGTGGGCATATGTATATATGTATACATATGTGTGTGTGTTTATCTGTGTAGATACATACACACATATATATATATATACACATATATGAATGAATTATATTTTAAAAATAAACCAAGAGGTTTGTATGTAAAATTACTGACATCAGTGATGTCTTTCCATATTCTTATCTGGAAATAAGAAATACTTTCTGTATTTTTCCAGATTTTGTAGCCTTTGAAAGATTTTTGCAATACTAAAAAGTGTGTAATTTTCATAACTTGTACAGTATGGTAAATTTTGATCTTCTGAGAGTTGATCTGAGGATTTGTCAGCTTCACTTTATTTTGCTAAAGCTTTTTTATTAATAAAAGTCATGTTTCAGAAAGCAGTAGAAATTTTAAATATTTAAATTGCTTACCCAAATTAAGAATATCAGAATTTTCAAACTTTTATCTTGGGACAAATGGTGACTTTTTAGATTAGCATGATGCTATGATTGCACAAGTGTTCTTGCTTTTATAATTGTTTTTCAGATTTCTTTTTATGAGATAGAGTCTAAAAACATCAGCTAAAGGCTTTCATGTTGCTAACTCTTGTTAGTCAAGGTCATCCATTACCTTATTTATCAGTTTATATGTACATTTTGGTGAGCACAGTAGAATTAGGAATTGAAAATTAAATCTGGCTACCTTGATGAGGAACAAATGCTTAGCCTGCATGCTGTGGGTCCTTATGCTGCGTCCAACAAATCCATGGATTAACTGCTTCTGAGGAAGTAGTAAAGTGTGGGTAGTAGTTATTATGGCGTGTATGCGTACTAATATGCATGGATTTGAGGTACTGTAAGGGTTGTTAACCTTCTTTACATTTGAAACAAATCCTTGTCAGTCTGGGAATAGTTTCAGTAGTGTCAGTTCCCATCTATAAAAGGATTTGGATTATGGCCATAATGAAGGTTTACAGAATCAATCACTCAATGACCTATAAAGTCTTTCATTTTTTTGTTGCCACTTTGGCTATATAAAACAAAGTTAACCATGTTCTCGTTTTGGGGCTTACTTGAAATGTTATAATTATAACTTCAAGTTGATCTGCTCATTTAATGATTTGGCAAAATAAGAGTTTGATTTTAATTATTTAGTCCACTAGTCTTTTAGATTGTCCCAACACAATTTTGTTGCTAGTTCCTGGAAATATCTATTTTTTTTATTATTTCTTTTAGCCTTCTGCTTTCTCATGAAACGTTTTTGATGAATTCCATGCTTTAACATTATAGGACTAGTATTTATTGTCTGTTGCGTACAAGCAGTATAACATGTATAGATGAAATATTTAATCTTTTAAATTTTACTGCTTTGGGGAAAGTGCCATGGCTGACCAAACCCAGTTTTGTTAATATGAAAATCCAAAGTTTTTGTAGCCTCGTATCAAAGATTATGTTTTAAAAAGTATATCAAAGCAAGGCAGTGCAATGCTTTTAGAAAACCTTATTGCAACTTTTGAAGGCCTATTTTCTGTTCCTTGTCTGTATTTTTGCAGGATGGAAATGCTTGCAAGACTGTTCATAGGAAAGTTTATAAATATATTGTTCTCAGGCTTGTAAGTAAAATATAGCACTGTGTACATTTTTTTAGAAACTTTACTTTGGTCTTTAATCTTACCTTTAATGGTATGCCTAAGAAAATCCTGACATTCCATACTCAATATGTAATGCTCAGCTGTTTTTAAGTATTTAATTGTAATGTGCATCTCATTTATGCAGGTGTTTATACAATATTTTATTCATGTTCTTTAAAATGCAGCCACTATAACTTGATAAAGACATTGCACTAGTAGTACTATTTAAAAAATCTTGTAATTTAGCAACCAGTTCAAACAGCTTTTAGTGCAGTTTGGAAAAGATGAAACCACATTGCTTCCAAATTGGTCTGAAAAGTCAGTACAGCTTTGTATAGTGATTGTAATGTATATTTTAAGCACTATTGTGTCCTGATCCATAAAGTGCATTGTATGCAGTCTGAATCAAACCTTCAACTCAACAGGCCTGACTGTTGGCTTTATAAAGGGTTTAAAATGATATTTTGAAAGAAATCAAAAAAAAATTGCAAAGTAGTTTTTATAAATTTTTCACATAGTAATTTTGCACTGTTGGTAATACCTGTGTCTCTTACCTAGCTCCCTGTCTGCAATTCTGGAAAAGCTTATTAAAGTATTTTTTTAAACATATTGCTTATATAAATACAAATATTGAGTACTTAAGAGTGGAATTTGTTTCTTTTAAGAGAATGTGAAAATGCTGCTTAATAATATGGGAGAGAATACTTGAATTGTTCAATAATAGTTTTAGCAAACCTTTGCACTTCGAAATATAATTCTGTGCTTCATGCTAGTTTCAAACTAAACTCCAGATATTTAATGACAATAGGTTTTTTTAAAAAAAAAAAACAATTAGGGATAAACTGAGATGTATACATTCTTGCTGTGAAATTAGAACTGTAATATTTAAGTCTGAATATTTTTGTTGAGGGTATTTACCAATAAAATATAATCATTTCTTGACATACCACAGAACATAGAGCTCAGTTAATTGTTGTAATAAAAAAGATCGCTATTAGAAGCATTGAGAAATTACTAGCCCAGATAGAATTTGTTTCTTAGATTATAGCTTATTTTTAGATACATTTATATCTTCAGTAAAGAAAAATGAAAAGTTGTAACAATGATTTAATAAACAAGGAAGAGTTTGGTAAAGCCAGGATCTTATAAGGCTGTATTCATATAAGTACAAATTTAAAAATTATAGTGCCTGGAGTTAATATGTTAGGAAATTATAAAAGAAAATCAAACAATTTTTATTTTATGATTATTTGCATGGAAAATCAGTAAAATGCTAAACTATGTCTTGGTTCTATTTTATATAAATTATATGTTTATATAAAATAGAAACAGGAAATTAACAACTTTAAAGAATGATCTGTAATCTTCCCATTTTGATGTCCTCCAATTATTTTGAACGACACCACCAAATTGGCTGGACATGATGCAATTATAGTACAGTACAATAGGGTTTCATGCAAGGTTGGATATATTGGCAGAAAACAAATTATTTTAGGTACTCAAAAGTACTCTTTAGTTTATTCTCAAAGGTTGTCACAGGTACCTACAAATCTAAGCATTCAGTAAAGATGGAATAATGGAATAAGATTATTGTGATTAAGATACTTAAATATATCCTTTTCAGATAGTCATATAATATAAATGATGAGTCAAAACTAACTACCCTGTGATGGTTAATAATTAAAAACATTAATACCATACATGTGAATGAGAGAACCAGTATAGTAATTTTGACCAAAGAAACTTCATCTTGGTTAAGAGAAGAAATAATACTCAGATATAAGGGGAGGCAGAAATAATCTTTATTCCTTTTTTCATTTTTGATTATAATTAGATGATGCAATCAAGACTTCTCCATTGTTCAATCTTGTTGTCTTGAGATAAAATATAAGTTAGCTAAATATTTTTGCTGGTGTGCAAAGAAACAATAATATAGACCTGGAAAAGTTTAAATCATTCTAAAGTATTAAAATTTCCACATACATACAAAATAGGGACATTATTTTTAAAATAACTATTATATATCACCCTTGAGTCAATCCTGAGTTCATGGAGACATCTATAGTTTTCTTGGCAACAGTACAAAACGTTTGGCCTTTTTAAATGCATTTATTCATCTGTTAAATGTATAGCCTCAGTTTTTCTCCAGAAGTTTAAGATAGTAAATTTACACTGAGTGATGTTTTATTGAAACAACAAACTTATGAGGTAGGTTGGACTGAATGATTGTTTAATAACACGCTGAAGGTCAGCCTGAACAGATTTCTTTGGGCCAGCTCAACCACTGCATCGTAATTGCTAATATGTGATGAAGAGATGCTTTTATTCACATATCCTAGCAATATTTTCTCAATAATAAAAAACATATCTACTTTTTTGAGGAGTAGAGATAACAAAGTCCTTGAAGTGGCAAATACCAACTTAGTATGGGGGATATATATGTATCGTGAAGACAACTCAAAGCTTTCTCACGTATTCATCATATTTCAGTGCATCCAATTTGCCTCTCTCAGCCCAACTCACCTCACAGGGCTGTTGTTGTGGAGAAAATAGGAGGAAGATGTGCTGAATATGTTTACCACCTTGAGTTATTTGTAAAAAAAGATACTAAATACAGATAATGACTGGTTTCACAAAGGAGGCAACTACTATTGAATTTGTTACACCGTTAGGCTTTGGCACCACTTTCTAGTGAACTCTTAAGATAATTAACAGTATATTTAAAGTATAGTATAGCTATATCTATTGTCACTAAAATATTGAAGTCTTATAAAAGCCAGAACAAAAAAATGTAAATGGAGACATTCTTGATTTATTTAAGCCAGTACAAAAATACATATAGCACATAAAAGTTATACAATAAAAATATTTATTCCTAATGCTGGATTGCTCTATATAGGAAAAATAGTAACAGGAAGTTTTAACAGTGTAGAAAATAAAACTATTAAGACTTGCTTACCTAGGCAGTATATATATTTTCTAAAACTTGGCACTAAAAATGTGTATATTACAAAAAAGCAAATCAACTGAGAACTATTTTATATGGCAGTAAATCTATCCAGTAGATTAACATTTTCTCTAACAAGTACCTGAGCGCAACTGCCTCAGTAGAGCAGGTTAACAAAAATACAATAATTTGACTGAATTATGAGAATTTCAGTCTAACAGCATCCCTTATTCTACATATTTGCATAAATTGTCCATAAGCATTTTATGAGAATTTTGGTGCACAGTTTAATTAAGGTAACAGTAGACCAAGGCAGCTGTGTGCTAAGTAATCCATTTTTTAGCCTGCATTACCTAAATGCTACCATTATCTACTTAACAAGCCAGCTTAAGTAGACAAGAAAATTTATTCTACTGTAATAGATCCCTTTAATCTACTTTCAAAGTCAAGACAATTCATTCTTCTAAATAGCTGGCAGGTGCAAAATCTAGAGTTAATATTTTGATTAAAATATTGGTTCTGATAACTGATTTACAGCAATTGGAGAAACTACACTTCTTTTTATGTAGAACTGATTCTTCTGTGAACTCCGGAACCACCTACAATCATAGTGTTTAAATTCAGTGGCAAAGCAATAATCAATGAAGGAATGATCTTCCATGATTTAGAATTGAAAACAAAAAAAAATGTAAAGGCAAAAGATGATTTAACACATCTTAGACAAAGGGAAAAAAATCTACACACCCAAATTCCACTATTTCCTCCTTCTCTCCAATTGTTGCTGGCTAAGGCATCATTTACCCAAAAGAAAAACATGGAGCCTGTGACATTTAAAAAGTTGCTCCTTCTTGCTTGAATCAATTTACTCTCCTCCTAAATGGACAATATTCTAGTGATCAAAGGTTTCAAAGCTATTAGCTACTGCTAATGGCTGGAAGGGGTTTCTCATTATGTGGAGAACAGGGCTTTCAAATCACAGTAAACCTACTGTAAGACTATTGTAAGATTTGCACATGTAGTTCATCTCTCAAAACACCAATAAATCTGCAACATTATGAAAGAGTATTTCTGAGGCTGCGAAAGATCATCATGTGGCTGTGAACTCCAGGATTCTCTTTTCTGCTTTATGTTAGGCTAGACTATTCCCGAAAAACTATTAGAGTTACCCACTCTGCATACTGCAAGTACGCACTCTGAAATTCTGTTTTTACTTTCAACAGTTTAAGGCTAAAAGAATGTATTTTAAAGTGCGCCAAAAAATCTGTGCGATCTCAGAGAGCAACTTACTGCTGCAATAGGATTTCTTGTTAGAGTTGTTGCAATGTCCAGCATATCATTCTTTGTCCCTCCTCTAACAAAGTCATAAATATGCAAAACAGTAATAATTACATGCTAAATAATGTCTCCAGTACACATAATTCAGATTTTTGGTGCCAGATCAAAAATGACTACATATTTATATTTAACACAGAATATATAAGATTTACCTGTTTCACAGACTTCATTTTAGAGTTAAATTTAACTCATAAAGCAATTAAGGGCATAACTGTATCTTACAGGCAAGATCATGGAGATAGGGGAAAACAGACAGGACAACTCGAGGCCAACTGAGTGGGGCAGGATAAAATTACTTAATTTTTGTTAGTGTCGTATGATAATTTTGGTGCCCACTCTTCCTCAGGCTTGACAATCTTGAACCAGGTAGAAAGGAAGAAATTCACTTACAATCTCAGCTTCTTGGATGAAAAGTCTTTTACATTTTGATAATTTTAGGATTTAACTTTATTTCCTTTTAAAATACAGCAAAATTGGAATGCTTTAGAACTTTTTTTAATAATTAAAGGGTGTGTAAGTTTTATTAAAAGGCATAAGCTTTTATGAATTGTAGCTCACTTCATTGGATGCATGAAGTGGATAAACAGATGAAGCATTTGAAAAGAAAATGCAGCAAGTGGAGGAGAAAAGAGTAGTTATGCACATGCAGATTACATGTGGGTAATCAATTAGTAATCAATTAGTAATAGCAATGTATTAAAATCACTTGTGTTTGTTAAACCTTAGATAGCTGAAGATTTTTTTATGTGAGATGATCCTGTAGTTTTGTTTTAAAATTGCAGATATGAGCTACAATTCATGAAAGCTTGTGCCTTTTAATAAAGTCTTGTTAGTTAAAAAAAAAAAAAAAGTCCTACCAACTATTATAAATTTTTGCTGCCAAACTCACAGACTTCTCCTTTACAATGTCTTTAATGTTTTAAAAGAGATTATTATATTTTGCAGTCTCACTATGTGCCAGGCTAGGAATTTGTGTGGTTCACTGAATCAAATAAACTGAAGCTAGGTTTTCTTTAGAGAAAAGCAAACTGGATTTCTTTCAGCAGAATATTTTGCTTTGAGCCATTTTTCAACATGGTCTGAATTTGACAGATAGCGTCTTAAAATTCAGAATTTTCTGGATAAACGCTATCTAAATATTACAGTTCTCATATGTTTCAGTGTGAGTGGGTGAGAGGCATACAAAAGGGCAGTGATGGTGAACCTTTTAGAGCAGTGGTTCTCAATCTTTTTAATGCCGCAACTTCCAACCGGTCGTAAGTCAAGGACTATTCAACTGGTGCAGCACCATTTGCAGAATGGGACTTTTGGCGGGCTCAGCAGGGCAGAGACAGCCTGGACAATTCCTATTGGCTTTTGAAAGCCAATAGAATTAGACTCTATTCAAGAGAGTCTATTCTATTGGCTTTCAAAAGCCACTAGAATAAAAGGGAGTAGCACAGCTAAGGAAAAGGGGGAAAAATGGCGGACTGCGTTGTTTGGCGACCCCCGTGAAATGGTCGTTCAACCCCAAATGGGGTCCCGACCCACAGGTTGAGAACCACTGTTTTAGAGACTGAGTGCCCAAACTGTAACCCAAAGCCCACTTACGCATCGTCAGGTGCCAGGTGGGCATGGCCCATTGGATGGGCATGGCCCATTGGATGGGCATGGCTGCTGTGGTAAAGGCAGACTGGGTGGGACTAAAAAGTTCAATCAATCAATTCCAACTTTGCAAGATTTTTTTTCCCGCGAGAAGTTGAAATTGACTGATTGAACTTTTTTTTTTTGCACACGGCGGCGGAGGCCTAAAGCGAAAAGGTTTTATAAAACCCAGCTGAAGGCCTAGGACTGGGGCGTCGGTGGGCGTGCCCACAGAGAGGGCTCTGAGTGCTGCCTCTGGCACCCGTGCTGCCACTGCAATAGGGCAACTGATAATAGCATATACTATTATTTCTTTTAAAGACTTGTGTTGGAGACATTGTAAATCTGATTTGCTTTGCAACAATATGAAGACCTCAAACAGATAGAAAAGCTTCATTTGCAAGTCTGGTGAGGCTCCTTTGAAAACAGCTTCTACCACATCAAAGTAAACACCCACGACTTCACTTTCCTCAAAATGGAAGGGGCCTGTTGAATAATTTAGCATAATATGTGAGCCCATTTCAAAAAGCAAGCTAGGGATGATAGACTGGGAGTATAAGAAAGAATAACTTCCAATAGCATGCTTTTCTATGTCCAAAAAGCTTCAATAAAAGTTTGAAAAAATATTTTTTCCCCAGAAATAAATGTGCATTTCAAAACACTTGAATCACAGAAGGGCAAACTCTCATTTATAACAGTCTTTTAAAAAGCTATAACCTTAAAAAAAATGAGATTTTTCTTTAAAAAAGCACACTGATTGCATAGAAAAAAGCTAAGTAAATAAAAGAAAACCTTTTACTGGGGGAAAAAATTCCACATTTTAGCACTGTAGTTTGCTTTTCTCATTTCTTCAGGAGAAACCGCATTTAAAACCTTACTCTTCAGAACATTTATCTATTTCTTATCTATAAGAGGTACTCATAAAGTCTATAAAAGTTTCAAAATAATTCCAGCCAAGATACCCAAACAATGTGTAACACACACTTAAAAGTGCTTCACTAGGTTCAGGAAAAAAATTAGATGGGACATTGAGAAGTCCCAAATTTGTATGGGTAACATTTCTGTTGATTGTGAATATAAATCTACCTTCCCCACAAACTGCAGCTCAGAATATCTTATCATCATCATTTATACACAGCTTCATGCAGCGAGATGTAGGAAATGCATTTCATTCATACAGATTGCATAACTTCAAGGAAAATGCAGTTAAAAGTTGGAGAGTTCAAGCCAAAGCCATGAGAGTTTGAACAATAGGCTTGTTTGATTTCAATGATGCATTTTCTTGCTGCGCCCAATCCTGACCAGCAACACTTGTGCTGCATTTGATATTACTCCTGTTTCACTACATACATAATTCCTTGCAGACTAAATGCAATCTATACATCGTATGTGCAGTCCAGTATAAATAAATGATTCCAAAGGTGGCAATCTTCAGATTGTGCAAATACAAAGTAGCCATTTCTATTCAGAGACTGCACACTACACTGATTTGTCAACACATCTTGTTAAAAAGTGAGAGTTACTCTGGTAAGTATGCCTTTTGTCATACAGAGCTTTTCCCTTTAATGTCCATCTTGATGCTAGCTTCAGACTGTTTACTTATTTGCTCTTCTGTAAAAGTGATGTAGGAATACACGAGGCTTCCAGCAATACTGCAAAACATTAGAATTTAGAATTAATAAACAAAAAACTTTGTCATGAAATATTAAATTGGTGGTCAGTACCGTCACAGCCATGGACACCCACAAGGCCCTCACTAAATTGTGTCCCCCAGCCAGATATCTTGTCTCTTCACCCACATACCATTCACAGTCCAGTTTACATTTCTTCCTACAGAGAAAGTGCACATATGTTACCATGTTTTATTTCATCCCTAGTAACAAAGGTGGAATTATTTTAATTCCTCCTATATTGTGGGTATGGTGAAGGATAGAAAGTTTTGAATGTGAGGACATGTTGTAAGTATGTGTGAGAGGTATGTTGGGAGGTTACCTGTTTGCTCAAGGATCTGCTGCTGGATACCTGATAGCTGAAAATAGCTGGATTTTAAATCCAAAGGTCTCTTCCTATATTAAATACTCTTACCTCAAATCATTGGCATCTTCAGGGGCTCACATGACAACGTGTACATGACGACATGACAGGTCGTTCTCTACTTACAACCACAACTGAGCCAAAAAAAATTGTTGCTAAGTGAGACAGTTGCTAAGTGAGTTTTGCCCCATTTTACAACCTTTCTTGCCACATTTGTTAAGTGAATCACTGTGATTGTTAAGTTAGTAACACAGTTGTAAATCTGGCTTCGCTATTAACAGCTTGCCAGAAGGTGGCAAAAGGTGTTCACATTATCCCAAGACACTTAAATTGTCATAAATATGGGTCAATTGCAAACATCTGAATTTTGATCATATGACCATGGGGATACTGCAACAGTCCTAAATGCGACAAAACGGTCATAAATCACTTTTTTCAGTGCCATTATAACTTCCAACGGTCACTAAATCAACTATTGTTAAGTCGAGGACTACCTGTATATATTTTGGGCAGAAGCTGTGATGCAAGTACATAATTGCGTCATTTGCCTAACAAGGTCCTGACACGTAATATTTTTTTACCCTTTCATAGCTTGTTATGTATACTTACATCTTAACTTTGCTTTATTCCTACCAGTACTCTTATAGAAGTGGCTCCCATTTAAGGCCTAGTGAATACTAGAAGGAAATAGTAACAGCCATCTATAAATAGCCAATGGGGGGAAAAAAAAAACCTCCATATTTTAATACTTGCACTTGTGATTACATAGAAAATACAATTTTATCAGAATTGTTGATTTAAATTTAACCTTCCTAAATCCAGTCTTCCAATTTTTATTGTAATATATTTTAATTTCTTAGCCATGTTTTGATACAGATATAATTTAGTAAATAGGCTGATCTTATAAGGCTTTCATTCTAACCAACATAAGGCAAGACTGAATAATTTAAACAATGTCAATGATAGTACTCAAATGAGGTATGTAATTGTTTTTACTATTTATTTATTAAATTTATTTGCCACCTATTGCACCACAAGGAGTCTACATCCTTGAATTATATCATTTATAAACAGATACCCTTCTTGAGGTAAGAAAAATCCATAGCAGAAAAAACACTCCCATGTGAACAAACTTAAATCTCACATACCAATAAAAAACTAGCAGTCCATATGATTAAATAATCCCATAAGCCAAGCAAAGCCTACAACTGTCATTCAGACACAGTTCTCCAACATATTCTGTAGTACTATGCAGCACACTAGTATATTAAAATGCATTTCATTTTTTTGTTATGTAAATGTTATTTCTTTAATTTTCCCTACCTTTTCATCTGCAACTCCCAAAATGTGTACCAATTTATGAAAAGTACCATAATATTAATCTTAACAGTTCCTTAAATGTAATATATTTCCAAGTTCTATAGAACTTATTTCCAGGCTAGCTACTATAGCAAAGCACCTTTTATATAAGCACATTTTCATAAACTCCATAATTAACTTGCATAATTTGTCCATTTATTTCTTTGAAACGTAGATACTTTACTTACCTAATATTTAATCCTACAAAATTTGTCCATGTGAAAATATAATCTCCTCCAAAGAACATTCCTATGTAAGTTATTAGTATATTCTGGAAGTAAAGAAATAAACAGAATTTAAGCTTTTAAACAGAGTGCTTAAGTAGACTTCTCAGAAAGAAGGATATTATGTTCATAAATAGCCATAGTACTTTAAAATATTTATAAAAGAATGAAAAAAAATCACAGATGCTGCTCCAGCATTAAAAAACAAATGCAATCTGATTACCTTAAAGATTAGATTTAAGTAATTAGAATTTTTGTAAGAAATTGCATGAAATCCCACAGCTTTACCACATCACCTCCATCTGTCAGGCTTAGCTTTTCCCACACATACTGCATTTGTTAAACAAAAATTACCATTTCTCTCTCACATAAATAAAAGCCAATTCAGATCACAATCTTTTCTATATCAGGCTAATACAATATTCTCCATTATTTTCTTTTCAATCCAAGAAGTAGAATATGTATGTACTCCGAGGTCCCTCTCACAGTACATGAAGCAAACTGACACCCTCCATGAAGAGGAGACACAACCACGAACGAGAAGCCAAAAAATAGCAAGGCAGCCCAAAATCTTAAACCCCTCTCCAACTCAGACTAACCTGAGCACAAC